TGGGACTTCACTCTGAAGCAGTTGTGGTGGGTAAAGGGGGACAGGCCAGAACAGACATTCTCTGAAGAGATGCTGAGCCCCTCCTGGCTCCCCTTCCCGCACCTCTGGTATCTAGCCCTGGACTGTACTATTTCTGGCCTTCCTATCTCTGTTTTCTCAGCTCCCTGTTTTCCTTTGGGCATTCCATCCCGCCCACATGCCTTGCTGTGAAGTGTCATGTCTGTCGCTGAAGCTACCTCTGTAATTAGGAACCTTCCTTGGCTGGGCACACACCCACAGGACCAGCTGTGGGCAGCTTCTGGCCTCAAGGCTCCTCCCCTGGATCAAGTGCAGCAAAGTAGGCGAGTCTGTCCCTTGCATACATCCTCTAGAGCTTTGTTCCACCCCTCTCTCTGTTCCAGTTCTGGCTGAAGTGGGGAATCTCTTCATCAGGGGGTCTGGGGGTCTCCAGGTTCCTCTGCAGTCAGCCCACTACCCTGAACATCATATGCAGGGGCTAGAGGAAGAGTGGAGAGCGAATGCCAGAGAGCCATCAGTTTCCTAGCGAGCAAGCCATTAACTAAGGGATCGCAGTACAAGGGAACTCCACGATGGCCCCAAAAAACCAAAGGGAAATTTAGAATTCTCACTGTCAGAACATAACAACTCCAGGCAGAGCTGCCCCCAGCCCCAGCCTTCCCTCCCCACCTCTGTCTTTGCCCATCCAACAAAGCCTCTTCCCACCCCACACATAGGTGTTGGTGTCCAAGCCGTGCCCTTCCTTCCATCCTGCCACAGATCTCACAGAAAAATTTATCACTTCTTTGGCCTACCACTACATGTGCCAGGACCTCTGGGACAAAGGACCACAGTACGAAGCTCACAGGTCTAGAAGCAGAGTCAGTGCTGGGTAAGGGACTCCAGGGTTTCTGGTACCTGGTTCAGAAGGGGTGTGAATTCTGTGCAACCTTCTCCTGTTCCTTGGCCCTGTGTGGAGAGTCACAGCTCCAGGAAGGCCAGGTCAGAGGTGGAAGGACAGGGCTTTTAAGGGGTAGGACCCAGGCCGGAAGGCTTCTTCCCCTGGCTTTAAGAATGGCTTTGCCACTGGGGTGATAGATGACCATGCTAACTATGCTTTTAGCTTTCAGTATTGTCTTTGATTCTGGTCTGCTCTCAGAACCTCAGCTGTCAGTGGTTGGTTCTTTGTTGCTGTTGGAAAGTCAGGGCAGAGACCCCTGGGTGATTAAAAGATATAATCATAAGCTTGCATTGACCTTTCTAAAAGTGGCCTTCTCTTAGGCCACCTGAGGCTGAAAAGAGAGGGAGGCTGTGTGTACATGCGTGCATGCGAGTGTGTGTGTGTTTTGTAGAAAAAAATCACTGCCAGTTCCTCAGGAGGGCTCCCCACAACATAAGGATTAGTTTTAAATAAAGAACAGAAACTTGCCAGGTGTGGGAAATGCCTTTAATCCCAGCACTTGGGAGGTAGAGGCAGGCGAATCTCTGTGAGATTGAGGCCAGCCTGGTCTACATAGCGAGTTTCAGGTAAGCTGGGGCTATATAAAAAAGACAAAAGCAAAAGAAAAGAAAACAAAAAACAGAAACTCAGGCTGGATAAGGTAAGCTGTGTAAGTCTGGTGACCTGAGTTTGATCCCCAGAATCCACATAAAGGTAGAAGGAGAGAACCAACTCCACAAAGTAGTTGTCCTCTGAGTCTCTACAGGTGTGCTATGGCACACACACACACACACACACACACACACACACACACACACGCGCACAAATAATTAAAAAGAGATTTTAAAAAAAGAACAGAAACTCTCCTACCTCCTTATTATGGCCCAGAGGCCTCATGGTGAGGGAGAAATGACATCAGTCTGGGAGGTGGCCTGGCTTTCCTGAAACACTGGCTGATTGATGCTCACCTTTTCCTTGTAAAAGTGCCTCTCCAGCCAACAGTCCCTCCTTGTCATCATTGATTTCTGACTCTGGGGCAGCTTGGGATGGGCCACTGGGTACCCTTTCTTTCACTTCTGACTCTCTGGCCCCAGAAAGTTACAAGGTTGAGTTAATCAGTTAATATGTCTTGGTGGCCCAAGGCCTCCACTGTTGCTGAGCTCCAGGTAAGAGAAATGAGGTTAAACTGCAGGAATACGAAGTGACGCTAAACATCAGAAGAAACCCACCACTGTCAGAGAAAGGAGACCCGGGCATTTGCTCTAAGGGAGGCTGGAGAATTTCCCTTTTTTGGAGATTTGTCAAACACAGAAATTCTTGCCTTTAAAGGCTTAGAAACAGAAGATTGAGTAAGATGGCCTTGTGGCCTTTCCTTCAAGTTCAAGCTACAGGGAAGACCATGGTCACAGCAGTACGTGTCTCTGTTCCTAGGTACCTCCCTCTCCCCAAGAGACTAAATCCCCTGTGTAGACAGCTGACTCCAGGAAAGACTGTTTTCTGATCCCTTTCTGTATGCGCAGATGCAGACAAAGCCTCAGTGCCTGGCAGGCGCATAGTGGAAGTTTGGGAAGAACGAAGGAAATCCATCCATCTGGGAGGTACTGGTTCTCCTCTGATTGCACTGCTGCTTCTGCTGCTGGATGGAGCCTCCACCCAATCCCAGCCTGGGAGGGAGTTTAGCATTGGCCCTGGCATGTAGGAGCTTGTTCCATGCTAAAACAAGCAGGGGTGCCTTTTGGGGACACACAGACTTTATTTCAAAGACCCAATTCCTCCCCTTCTCCGTTCCACCTAGGCCTCTCCACCCCTCTCTGCAGCCCTCCCTTGTTTTTTGGTTGAAGTCAGGAGACAGGCAGAAGAGAAGCCTGGCAGGGGCTCAGAAGTGGTGTATGTCTGGGTGGGGGTGGGGTGGGAAGGGTGCATGGGTGTGGGCAGAGGTGGAACCTTAGCAGAGGCTGCAGCTTGGGATGGTGAGTTCTGGGCTGACCACTGCACTACGTGGAGGATGGTGCATAGGCAGGTGGAGCAGGGGAGAAGTAGAGATAAAGATCTCCAGATAAGCTAGGGGAGTACAGGAGTCAGGGGAACAGGGCAAAGGGGAGTGGCCCTGGCATCCTGGCATGTGGAGCAGCAACTAGATCCAGACGTTGCTATCTCCCTGCCCCTTCCAGGAAGACTTCTTGGTTGGCACACGTATTAAGTAAGCCTCATTCTGTTCTCTACTGGGGAATGTGGTCAGACATTGATAGGCTATCTTCATCTAGAGTTATTCTAGCCTATCCTGTGTACTCAATTTGGTCTACAAAGTGTGTGGTGTGTGTGTGTGTGTGTGTGTGTGTGGTGTGTTGTATGTCTGTCAAGGAAACCCTTTTCTAAACAGCCACTCCTCCAATACCTACCCACGTAGGTTGTTTATTCTTGTCCATGTGTAAGCTCTCTGAAAGTTGAGATCTTCTACTTTCTGTGTCATCAGGGTCTAAACTGGTGCCTAGCATACAGTTGGTGCTTAATATTCAAGTGGTGAATGAATGCCTATAGGATCCTTGCCTCGTGGCAGCCATGATGGCATTCATTTCATCAACCATAGAAGGAAATACCCAGGTCTTCACAAGCATCTTTCACCCATGGTGGAGCTTGTCCCTCCCTTTTAGGCTCCAGCTTCACTTTCTTTCCATCTGATGCCTGATTATTTTCTGAATCCACCAAGCTTCCATATAGCAGCACTTAATCTTTGATGGAATTGCTGCTCTTCTATCTCTCCCTAGAGCACTGTTTTCCCTTTCCCTGCCCCTTCTCCAATGCTCTGACATTTGGTAGTCAAAGTCTTTCTCTGGGGTTTCGCGTGTGTGTGTGTGTGTGTGTATGTGTGGGCTTTCATGCTATAGCTCAAGAGTGGAGGTCAGAGCACCACCTGTGAGAGCTGGTTCTCTCCCTCCACCATGTAAGTCCCAGGGATCAGGGATCAAAAACTCAGGTTTCCCAGTTTGTACAGTAAGCACCGTTACCTGCTGAGCCATCTCAACTGACCAGGGTTGAAATTTATTTATTTATTTGATTACTTTGTTTATGTGTGTGCAGGTAATGGGGGTGCACACATGCCACAGTGCACCTATGGAGGTCAGAGGACAATCTACAGGAACTGGTTGTCTCCTTCTATCATGTTGGTCCAGGATGGAACTCAGGTGGACAGGTTTGTCTTCAAACACCTTTACACTCTGACCCTCAGTTGCTGTTGTTGTTTTAAATCTTCAAAATAAAGATCATTTTGTTGCTGTAATGGTGTTTTTTTTAGATCTGCCAGGAGAACTTAGACCATATCGTTCCTTTAAATTCTGACATTCTGTTGCTCTTTAAGTACTTTTACAAAGCTTACTTCATTTAATTCCTGTACCCTAAGACAGATAAAGCTAATATACTCACTTTAAAGATGAGGAGAAACAGAGAGGAAGAGAAATTAATTGGCCTAAAGTCATACACAGATGAACTGGCAGAACCCAAACCCAAGTCTCCTAATTCTAAATTCCAGGGATACTCCATCTTTGGTGAAAAAGATCCCAACCTAACACAAAGCCTACGAAACGCTTTACAAACATGTTATTACTACATTGAGGCAAGGATGAATAAGCCCGACGCTGAGTTGGCTGGCCAGTAAAGGCGTCAGTCCTTTCTCATGGCGCTCCCTGACTCACCTGTTGAACAGGTAGGGGGAAGGGGAGAGTTACGAGTCCTACCTGCTCAGGGCTAGGGTGGGGCAAGGCACACCCCACCTGTTCCATTGGCTTTTTCCCTAGTCTTACTGACAGTCCCTTGTCCAATCAGAAGGAGGAAACTGTCTATCTGCCAATAGATGCAAAATGAGGATGAGACCTTAAGTTGGAGTCCACCCAGAGCCGACTGGCAGTCCCTGGGGCCAATGGTGAGCGCATAAACAGAGGCGGCCGTGGAAGAGGTCTGGGCGCGAGGCTCCGCCCCTTGATGGGACAGTCAGGCGGGACATCCAGTGAGCTAGCATTTGCGGGTGGGCGTCTCCCTAAGGGCGGAGCTTCGAGGGAGCGAGAGGTGTGGCTTGGCTGTCAGGTCCCTTCGCCTTTTGTTCGGTTACTGAGTTGCTGCCTTGGCCAGAGTCCGGAGCAGCCGCCGCCCGAGCGCGCCGAGCTCAGTTCGCTGCCCGCTCCGGCTCCTACCCGGCCCGACCCAGGCTAGGCTCCACTCGCAGGTACGCACGATCCGGGCAGGTATCACAGCGGAGAGGGAAGGGGCTGCCCAGCGACTGAGAGGCCGGGTGCAGTCGTCTCCCGGGCAGGTGAGGGCGGGTGCCAGACAGCGCCATCCTGCACCGGCGACAGGTGGCGCGCTGGAGTCCTGGGCGCGGCGACCCAGGGTAGCTCGGTTTGGGTGGAGCGCCCCATCCAGGCTCGGTGAACCCCAGATCTGAGAAGGGCGGGGAGGGAGCAGGGCAGGTGCCTCCTGGGGCGCTCCTCCCCAGGGCTCCGCGCAGCTTGTCCCACGCACCGTCCCTGACTCGCGCCCTGAGCGGGCCGGGGCAGACTTTGACCAGCTCCGCCTGCGTCCTAGAGCTTACACTCTGTGTCAGGAATTTACCACTCGGGAAACTTGCTGCTTGGTCTCTTTGGGGCCACCCTCACCCCACCCCACGCGTCATCCTCGCTTGGCCTCCCTCTCTACTCCCCTAGGCCTGGGTGGGGCCCTATTGTCTGCACCCAGCTTACCCAACTGTGGGGGCAGAGCGCACATTTTCCCAGCTTCGCGGGCCCCACCTGCTGAGCAGGTGAGCGCTCGGGAGGACCGAGGCCCTGCCCTCCAAGTTGAGGTTGCGGCGCCTCCCTCCACTCCGGTGGGTGCGGGTTCATGCCTCCTCCGGTGGAGGTGGGATGGGGTGACAGGGAGACTGGGGCAGGGTCTGGGTTCAGTGCCCCACTGATGTCTGGCATTGGTGTCTTGGCCTGGGGTCTGGAAGGGGAGCCATATACGCATGGGTAGAGAGAATTCAGGGTCATTCACTCAGTTTTCAATAGCTGTGGTTTCCAGAGTGTTGACATGAAAGCAACAATACCTTTTTCTCTAAGCCCTTATTGAAAAATCAACCCAAACAAACTTTGCAGGAGTTTGCTGCCGCTTTCTCTGGGATTTTCCTGTCTCCTTACCCCAGAGCAGCTCTCAAGCTTTGGGGGGTTCCCTCTTGGGGGAAAGCCCCTTTCCCCCAGCTAGCCTCAGGCTGAACCTAGGCCAGTGTCTGCTCTCTGACCCTCTTCTCCCTGCCCCCCACATTCATCCTGTTTGCTGGGCCCCTGAGGCCTGAGCTGGGGAAGGAAGATGGGGGTTGGGGGAGGACTACGAAGGGAAGTCTTCTTCTCTTCTGCCTCCTCCAGGACCATCACACCCGTTGGAAAAGCCTGCAAAGTGCTTCTCCTTCTCCAGCTCTGCCCCTTCCCCAGGAACGGGAGTCCGGCAGGGCTGGGTCAAACTGAGGAAGATTATCCTGTCCACCCTCCCCGCCTTTCGGTTCCCCACGTATTTAGCTGACTGACAATTGAGGCCGGAGTGCTCCACGGGACTCTTGCTTGCCATTGGATTACTGAATTATGAAGGTACATTCCTTCTGGAGGTTTTGCCAAGAGTCCCTTCTCCCACCCACTGTTTTGTGGGGAAAGGAGGACAGGAGGAAGGGTTTACTGGAGGAGGGTTTCCTCCATGAAAGGCACCCTCAGGCAGAACTGTGAGAGCCCTCCCCTTGCTCCTGGTGTGTTGAGAGCTGGCATCTCAGCCCATCACTGACTAGAACTGGAAATGTCCACTTTGCTTACTGCATTGGTTTATAAATTCTAAATTGGGGTCTTTTCGCCAGCAATTGGCACCCAGTCTCCTTGGGAGACAGAGTAGGAATACCAGAGCTGGCCTGCTCAGTCTGGGTTAGAGGAAAGGGGGTTGCGGTTGTCCAAGCTGCTTGCTCTGACTCACCTGGGAAGCCCTGATGCTTGGTTGCAGATGGCATGATGGAGGTGGAGGTCAGACTCTACCTTGGACTAACCTCTCCAGTGGGGATCAGGCTCAGCCCTGGGGATGGTAAGGTATGTGCTTGCACCTCTAGGCAGCACTAAGGGCATGAAGTTTGGGCCCAGGCAACCTGTCTTCCCTCTTCTCTGTGCCAAGGTGGAGGAGGGGAAGGCATTGTAATTATGTTGGTTAAATGATTACTTGAGCTAATCTGGTTTGTGGCTGTGTTGAAGAGATAATACTGAGGAAGTATGGCTAGGAGGTGCCTGGCCCACACTGGCTTCTGACTGGACAGGAGGGAGGGGGAAGTGAAGGTAGGATCCAATTAGTCATTTCTTGCCAGATCAAGTCTGGGCTTGGGTGACAGGAGCCTCCCCCACACCCGGGCTCCACCCTGTTCCCTTTGGAGCTGTTGTCTGGCCTGCCAGGATTGAGCTTGGAGAATGTAGCGTGTGGGAGCAGAAGGTCAGGCTGGGCCTGGTGGCCTGTTTCCCTTCCTGGGGGCCCATAGGCTGGGGCCCATGAGAAGAAGGTCTGTTCCCATTCAGAGCTACTTTAGAACAAGTTGGCACATTTGGCCAGCCCACAGAAGGACAGTGATCTGGAGACATGGGCTAGTGGGGCAGTTCTGAGCACTGGGATGTGGGTTTGGAACGGAGCTGGCTTGTCTCTGTGCAGGATCTCATTACTTTGGTCAAGGTGCCTTGCCTCTTTGAGCCTTGGTGACCTCTTTGGCAAATAGAAATAATAAAAGCAATCTACCCAGTAGGGACTCAGTTGATGATAACTCGGAAGACTAACCAGAAGACTCTACGGTACCAAGCACTTTCACCATCCTTCTTTCTTAGTCACAGTTACCTTATAGGCAGGTGCGACTCAGGGAACTCCTGGAACTTGCTCTGTGATACACAGCTAGACTCAAGCAGAGAACCTTCTGTTCTAAGTTCAGAGCTCATTCTGCTGTTTGGCTCCACAATTCTGGAAGAATTTTTTTTTTTTGGTCTTTCTGAGACAGGGTTTCCCCAGCTGGCCTGGAACTCACTATGTAGACCAGGATGGCCTTGAACTCACAGAGATCTGCCTGCCTCTGCCTCCTGAATGCTGGGATTAAAGGTGTGTGGCACCACGCCGGCTTTTTTTTTTTTTTTTTTTTACTGTTTTTCATTTTCTTTGAAATGTTGGGGATCAAACCCAGGGCCTTACACATGCTAAGCAAGTTCGCTCCCATGAAGCCCCATCCTCAGCCTTGGATGGAAGTTTTCTTTTTTCCTCTCCCTTCCCTCCTCTCTCTATCCCCCTCTTCCTTCTTTCTTTAGTTCTTCCTTCCTTCCCCTCTCCCTCCTTCCCCCCCCCTCTCTTTTTCTTTCCTGACAGTCTCAAGTAGCCCAAGCTGGCCTCAAACTTGCTACATAGCTGAGGTTGACCTTAAACTTTTTTCTCTTTCTCTCCTCCCTTCCCTCCCCTCCCCTCCCCCTCCTTCCCTTCTCTCTCTCTCTCTCTCTCTCTCTCTCTCTCTCCTTCTTTCTCGTGTATGTGTATGTTTGGGTATGTGCAGACCACAGCACACTTGGAGAGGTCAGAGGACAACTTGTAGGTGTCATTTCTCTCCTTCCACCATGTGTCCTGTGGACCAAATTCAACCATCTCACCAGATCAGACCTTGAACTTGTGATTCTCCTGCCTCCACCTCCAAGGGGCTGGGCTTACAGGCATGCAACACTGCATCTGGTTGATACAGGGCTTGAACCCAAGCCTTCATACATACTAGGCAAGCACTCTACCAAGTAAACTACATTCTCATTCCTGGATGGAATTTTTCTGTTGTCCGTTTTAGAGAGCCTCAGCTTCACAGGGAGACAGGAATTCAGAAAAGTCCAGCAAGGCCTGTGTGGGTGGTGAAGGCAGGGACAGGTTTGTCAAGTGGGGGTGACTCATCATCCTAGCCACCAGCACTCTGAAACCTCCCCAGTGGCTGGTGTCTAGGCAGCTCCTCAAGGCCAGGGAATGGAATGGGGGTGTTAGGGCATGTCAGAGAGAAGGAGAGCAGAGGCCAGAACTTTCTGGAATCGACCCTGGATAGGAAGTGGGAGTTACTTTCTTTGCTCAGGGCCTGGGACTTTGCCAAAATGAAGGGGGGTGCTCCCTGGGGAGTGGAGAGACATGAGTCAGATTTAGGCTTGGGTGCATGTCCTGTTGGATCATGCCAGGCAGCCCAGCCAGGCTGTGCTTAGAAGGAACTCGCTGTCCTGGCTGGAGACTCTGAGATCTAGACTGTTACGGCTGCTGCTGGAGGGTCTTGATGGGTATGAGGTGAGGAGTTGTGGGAACTTTCTGCCAGCCAGAGCCTTGGCTGTCAAGGGAGGAGCTGATGGCACATAGTCTTCTCAGATCTGCCTGATTTGGGCCCCTCTGCCAGCCTGATACCTGACAGCAGAATGAGCCTGGAAGTGGGGTCTAAGACTAAGTTCAGCTGTTGCGTCCTGAGGACTGAGGCTCTTACTACCAGATTGTATCTTTGAGGACATGACGTAACCTCAACATAGTGATTACTGATCCTGGAGAAGAGAACACTAAGCAAGGGGCCTTGACCTGATAGAAACAGGAGAATGAAGCCATTCTGGCTGACTGCCAGATAGGGTGGTGGGCTTGCAGCTTTCCAGCACCCTGAGGCCATAGGAACTAAGGGGACTGATATCTTTATGGAAGGAAGGCAGGCTAGACAGAAAGAAGGACTTCCTATTCATTGGACAGGATGTTTTAACTGGAACGAGAATAAGAGGAACAGATGGAGGCTCATAGTTGAGTCTCCTTTAAAGAAGGCCATCCTGCCTAGGAGGCAAGGCTCCCTGTGGGTGAGGCCTGCTGAGTCCTTGGAGCAGACCCTTTGTTTTGTAACTTGTGACAAAAGAACCACAGGGCTGTAAGGGAGACAGACATCCGGGGCAGTCTGGCTTAGTAACCCTCTGATGAAAAAGAGGTGAGAGTGGCCAGGGCAGGTCACTGGGATTTGTGTTCCTGCAGATGACACCCGAGGCCTCTCTCCTGGGACATAGTGGACTGTGATGGAGATCTGGGCACATGGACTGTCTCATTTCCCAGCAACTTTTTGGGTTTGGCCAGACGAGAGCACCCACTGACTCTACTATGCTAGCCTCCTGACCTCTCAGCCTTTGGGCAGCCCCAGAGCAGGAAGTTCAGCTT